GTTTGAAATCCAGAAGCGTGATACCTCTGGCTTTGTTCATTTTTCTAAGGATTGCTTTGGCTATTGGGGGGCTTTTGTGATACCACACAAATTTTAGGATTGTTTCTTCTATTTCTGTGAAGAATGCCTTCGGTATTTTGATGGGGATTGCATTGAATCTGTAGATGGCTTTGAGTAGCATGGCCATTTTAACAATATTAATTCTTCTGATCCATGAACATGGGATATCTTGCCATTTGTTTGTGTCTTCTTCAATTTCTTTCAGCAAAGTCTTGTAGCTTCCATTGTACAGATCTTTCACTTCCTTGGTTAAAATTATTCCTAAGTATTCTATTCTTTTCAATGATACTGTGAATGGGGTAGTTTTCTTTATTTCTTTTTTCAGTTGCTTCGTCATTAGTGTAAAGGAATGCAATTGATTTCTCTAAGTTGATTCTGTATCCTGCCACTTTACTGAAATTGTTGATTAATTCCAACAGTTTTTTGACTGAATCTTTGGGGTTTTCTCCATATAAGATCATATCATCAGCAAACAGTGACAATTTTACTTCTTCCTTTCTGAATTGGATGCCTTTTCTTTGTCTTGCCTACTGCTCTAGCTAGGACTTCAAGTACTACATTGAATAGGAATGGTGAGAGTGGGCATCCTTGTCTTGTTCCTGATCTTAGAGGAAACATTTTAAGTTTTTCTCCATTGAATATAATGTTATCTGTGGGTTTGTCATATATGGCCTTTATTATGTTGAGGTATGTTCCTTCTATACCCAATCTGTTAAGGGTTTTTATCATGAAAGGATGTTGTATTTTGTCAAATGCTTTTTCTTCATCTATTGAGATGATCATGTGATTTTTATCTTCCATTTTATTGATGTGATGTATTACATTTCTTGATTTGCATATGTTGAACCATCCTTGCATCCCAGGGATAAATCCCACTTGGTCATGATGTATAACCATTTTAATGTATTCTTGAATTTGGTTTGCTAATATTTTGTTGAGAATTTTTGCGTCTATATTCATCAGGGATATTGGTCTATAATTTTCTTTTCTTCTAGTATCCTTATATGGTTTTGGTATCAAAGTAATGCTGGCTTCATAGAAAGAGTTTGGAAGTGTTTCCTCCTCCTCAATATTTTGGAAGAGTTTGAGGAGGATTGGTGTTAATTCTTCACTAAATGTTCAGTAGAATTCAACAGGGAAGCCATATGGTTCTGGAGTTATCTGTGTTGGGAGTTGTTTGATAACTGATTCAATCTGTTTAGTAGTTATTGGTCTGTTCAGATTTTCTATTGTTTTCTGATTCAGTCTTGGTATGTTGTGTGTTTCTAGAAAGGTATCCATTTCTTCTAGGTTATGTAATTTGTTGGCATATAATTGTTCATCGTAGTCTTTTTTTGATTCTATATATTTCTCTAGTATCAGTTGTAATGTCTCCTCTTTCACTTCTACTTCGAGTCTTCTTTTTTTCTTAGTCTAGCTAAAGGTTTGTCAATTTTGTTTAACTATCTGAAGAATAAGCTCTTAGCTTCATTGATCCTTTTGACTGTTTTTCTGGTCTCTATTTCACTTATTTCTGCTCTAATCTTTATTATTTCCTTCCTTCTGCTCACTTTGGATTCGTCTGTTCTTCATTTCTAGTTACTTGAGGTGTAAAGTTAGGGTTTTTTATTTGAGCTCTTTCTAATTTCTTAATATATGCATTTATTGCTGTAAACTTTCTTGTCAGAACTGCTTTTGCTGCATCCCATAATACTTGATATGTTATATTTCCATTTTTATTTGTTTTGAGATAATTTTTTTAATTTCCCTTTTGATTTCTTCTTTGACTCAATGGTTGTTTAGAAGTGTGTTGTTTAGTTTCCACATGATAGTAGATCTTCTCACTTTCCTCTTGCTGATTTCTAGTTTGATAACACTGTGGTCACAGAAAACAGTTGTTATGACTTCAAGCTTCTTATATTTGCTAAGATTTATTTTGTGGCCTATCATATGATCTATCCTGGAGAATGTTTCATGTGCACTTGAGAAGAATAAGTATTCTGCTATTGTTGGATGGAATGTTCTGTATATGTCTATTAAGTCCATTTATTCTAAAGTGTGGTTTAATTCCAATGTTTCCTTGTTGATTTTCTGTCTGGATGATCTATCCATCACTGATAGTGGGGTATTGAAGTTTCCTACAATTATTGTATTGTTCTCTATTTCTCCTTTAATATCTGTTATTATTTTCTTAATATAATTTGGTGCTTGTGTTTGGGGAGCATATATTTTTACAGTTTTTATATCTTCTTGATGTAGTGACCACTTTATCATTATATAATGACCTTCTTTGTATCTTGTTACCCTTTCTGACTTGAAATCTCTTTTGTCTGATATAAGCATGGCTATGCCCACTTTCTTTTGGTTTCTGTTTGCTTGGAATATCATCTTCCATCTTTTCACTTTAAGCCTATATGTGTCTTTAGAGCTGAAATGAGTCTCTGCAGCTAAAATGAGTCTCCGCAGGCAACATATAGTCGGGTCTTGTTTTTTTATCCATCCAGCCACTCTGTGCCTTTTGATTGATGAATTCAATCCATTTACATTTAGGATGATTATTGATATGTAAAGAATTACTCCTGCAATTTTATCTTTTGCCTTCTGGATATTTTGTTTCTCCATTGTTTCTTTTTCCTTCTGTTTCAGTCTACCTTTCTAAGTTGGTGGTTTTCCATGGTGATTTGCTCAGTTTCCCACTTTTTTGTTTCGTGTGTCTGCTCCAGATTTTTGCTTTGTGGTTACCATGAGCTTTTCATAAATCATTTCATAGATAAAATAGTCCTTTGTCTGCTGATAGCAACTGATCTTCATTCACCTATTCCTTTTACTCTTCCCTTTTATATTTTTGATGTCACAAATTATCTCTTTTTATGCTGTAATTTCATTATTAAGTTGTGGTAGCTATAGTTATTTTTAATTCTCTTTTCTTTTAACATTTGTACTATAATTAAGAGTTTAATATATTATGGTCATGCACTGAATAATGATGTTTTGGTCAATCACGGACCACATATTGGTCCCATAAGATTAGTACCATATAGCCTAGGTCTGTAGTAGGCTATATCATTTAGGTTTGTGCAAGTATACTCTATGAAGTTTTCACAACGACAAAATCACCTAAGGACACATTTCTCAGAACATATCCCTGTTGTTAAGCAACACACAACTGTATTATAAAAATGTGTTATAGTTTTCTAATTCTGTGTATCACCTTAATCACAGTTTTGTGTACTTTTGCCTTTTTGTTTCATCTTGAAGTGTTCCTTTCACTGTTTCTCGTAAGGCAGGTCTAGTGGTGGTGAACTCCCTCTGCTTTTGTTTGTCTGAGAAAGCCTTTATTTAGCCTTCATATTGGAAGGGTACCTTTTTTGGATAGCATATTCTTGGCTCACAGTTTTTATCTTTCAATATTTTAAATATGTCATTCCACTCTCTCCTGGCCTGTAGCATTTCTGTTGAGAAATCTGCTGATAGCCTAAGGAGAGTTCCTTGGTAGGTTACTGTCTTTTTTGCCTGGTTGCCTTTAAAATTCTTTCTTTATCACTGACTTTTGACAGTTTGAATATAATGTGTCTTGGAGAAGGTATAAGTCTTTTTGCATTGAGATAATAAAGTGCTCTATTAGCTTCGTGGACTTGTATATCCAGTTCCTTCCCCAGGTTTGGGCCATTCTTAGCTATTTTTTCTTTAAAAAAAACTCTCTGCCCCCTACTCCCTCTCTTGTCCTTCTGGAATACCCATTATTCTTAGATTGGCTTTTCTAATGGAGTCAGATAGCTCTCATAGGATTTCTTCACTTTTTAAAACATTTAGTTCTCTCTCCTCTTCCACCTTAATCATTTCTAGCTTCCTACATTCCAGCTCACTAATTCTCTCTTCCATCTGATCTGCTCTATTTCCAATGCATTCTTCACCTCATTTATCAAGTTCTTCAGCTCAAGAATTTGATTGGTTCTTTTTCAGAATTTCAATCTCTTTGGTAAAGTGCTCCTTCTGTTCGTTAATTTTATTCCTGAGATCATTATACTGCCTTTCTGAGTTTTCTTCTAGCTCACTGAATTTCTTCATAACAGCTACTTTGAATTCTTTATCAGTTAGATCACAATATTCCATGTTTTTGGGTTTGGTTGCTGGAAAATTTTCTTTTTCTGATACCATGTTACCATGATTTTCATGGTGTTTGATGAAAAGTGCCTCTGCTGCTGCATTTTCAGTAATGAACACCTTTCTTATTCAGGCAAGACTTTGTTTACTTTGATTCTAACCGTTCAACAGGTTGGTAATTAGGATCCTTCCTTTTGTTTCCCAGAAGGTGGCGCTATAGCATAAGTTTTTGATTTCTCTTACCAGAACTAACTTGCTGCTGAAGTTGGGAGTGCACACATAACAACAACAACAGAAAAGCTGGTGGAGAAAAAAAATGAGTGGAGGCAGAGTTGGGGGAGGTGTGTACTTAGAACTTGGCGCTTTGGGTGTGCCCACGGCCCAGTAGGGGGATCCTCAGGTGGGGAAGTACCAGAGGTCTGTGGGCTATCCTCTTGCCAGAATCTCTGGGCAGATAGCAGGAGACACTTTCCTTCAGTTCTCTTTGTCTTCCCACTTCCCTTTCCTTTCCCTTCCCCCATTCACAGTAGTCTCTCCTCAGAGAGAGCAATGGGTACCTCTAGCTACAGAATGTGTGGCCAGGCAGACCCCTGCTCTCCAACTTCATCCTCCACCTCCTCTGCCAGAAAAGTCAGGCTGGCCCACTGTCAGACTTACCGCTTTCTCTGCCACCACCACTTCTGCCACAACTCCCCTTGCTCCACAGCCTCCTCCATGGTGTAATTCACCCACTTTCAGGTGCAAAATTCGATGGATCTCTTGGGTGTCCTGGTATGCTGTGTAGGGGCACTTTTTTTCTGTTATGGATGTCTGATTAGTTGTAAATCAAAGGGGAGGGAAAAAAGGAACAACTCATGCCACCAGGATGCTGATGTCACTCCACATTTTTTTAATCTTTAAACCAGAGTTGTAAGTGAATTATGCATCCCTGTTACCAAATTATGGAATCTAACTTTGACTATATATTTACTATCACTAGTGAGTTTTATGTTAACTTTTATGTTTTTATGATGTTACTTAGCATCCTTTTACTTCCATTCAAAGAACTCCCTTTAGTACTTCTTGTAAGGCAGGTCTAATGGTAATGAACTCCCTCAGCTTTTGTTCATTTGGGCAAGTCTTTATCTCTACTTCATTTCTGAAGGACATCTTTACTGGGTATGGAATTCTTGACTGGCAGTTTTTTTCTTCCAATATTTTGAATATGTCATCCCATTCTCTTTGGCCTGAATAGTTTGTTGAGAAATCCACCAAAAATCTTATGGGGGTTCCCTTGTATGTAACTTCTCTGTTCTTTTCCTGCTTTTAAAATTCCTTGTCTTTGACTTTTGACAATTTACTTATAACGTGTCTTGGTGTAGCGCTACTCAGGTTCAACCTATTTGGGACCCTCTGGGGCTCATGGATCTGAACATCCATTTCTCTCCTGAGGTTCAGGAAGTTTTCAGCCATTATTTCTTTAAATATACTTTCCCTTTCTCTTTCTCTTCCCCTTCTGGAATTCCCATAATTCCAATATTGTTTCTTTCCATTGTGTCCCATAAGTCTTGGAGGCTTTCTTCACTGTTTTTCATTCTTTTTTCTTTTTGCTCCTCTGACTGGATAATATCTAATGTCCTATCCTCCAGGTCACTGAGGATGTGGTCTTTCTTCTACATGGTCAAGTCTGCTTTTGAAACTCTCTATTGAATTCTTTAGTTCAGTTACTGTATTTTTCAACTCTAGGATTTCTGTTTTTGTTTTTTTTTTTTTTTCTGATGGTTTCTATTTCGTTGTTGAACTTCTTGTTTTGTTCACATATTGTTTTCCTAACTTCATTTAGTTGTCTGTATGTTCTTGTAGTTTACCAAACTTCTTTAAGAGGATTATTCTGAGTTCTTTATCTGACAGTTCACAGATCTCTGTTTCTTTAGGATCAGTATTAGAGCTTAATTAGTTTCCTTTAGTGGTGTTATATTTACTTTGTTTTTCATGATCCTTGATTTCTTACATTGGCATCTGCACATTTGAGTTATCAGGTTCCACTTCCAAACTTTACATATTTGCTTTGGCAGAGACAGATCTTTACCAATCAGCTCAGTTTGGGTTTGTGGGCATGTCTGCTGGCAATATTCTTGGGCGGGGGAGTGGGGGGCTGCTATTATGGTTTATTTTGGGGCAAGGCAACTGTTTGACCTCTGAGGTCAGAGATGGTGAGGTATGCCACTGGCTGAGAACAGTTGGATAGGACTTCTGGCTTGGTTCCCTCCCAAGTGAGGCTGTAGGATGGGCTCTGTGGTTTCCTGGATTCTCTGGTCAGGCTTACTAGATGGTTGGGACTAGGTACTATATTCAGTCAGAGATGGGGTTATGAATTTGTTTCCCCGCCCTGGCAGGGCAGTAGGACAGGACCTAAGGCCTGTACAGCTTGTTTGGGGACCCAAATCAGGCAAGAATGTGCAGTGAATTCCCTGGTCAGGTAAAACCACTGGTTTTGCTCTGCAGATGGGGAAAGCTAGGGCCTGTGCAATCTGTTCAAGTGTCACTTAAGTATGGCTGTTGGATGAACTACACAGCTTCCTGTGTGCTCTGGTTAGGTTCTCCGGTCAGGCAGGCTGAAGGCTGTATTCAGCAATGAGTAGGGCTGAATTAGTTTCCCTGCCCTGGCACAGCAGGAGAAGCAGCTCTAAAGCTGGTAAAGCTCTTTGCTTTCTTAACTCAAGCTGACCCATGCCCCAAGTTCCCTGGCCAGACAGGGCCACTGGCTTTGCTCTGCAAACTATCATCTCTTCCTTCCTGTCTTTCAGCTCCAGTATTGTTGGTTACACAGCTCCCAGGTCTTCTTGCCAGCCCTTTTGGTCAGATGGGGCCCTGGAGTCACAGTGGGTAGGGCTATGTTTCAGCTCACTTGCCTGGGTGGGATGGGGAGGGGTCACTCTAGGCAACTCTCAATGTTTTTTTGAAGCAGGCTTTTCAGTTGGGAGGGGATAGAAGCTACCTTTAGCCTTGGCTATGAATTAATCCCTCTGTCTGGGCATAGGAGGGGAACGTTTCACACCTAAGACTGGCTATGCTCTGGGGGTGATTAGCTCTGCCCGCTTGCCTCTCAGCCTCCAGATGAGGCCGGGAGATACTCTCCCAAATGGGTGGGGCTATGGCTCAGCTCCTTGCCTGGGCATGGGCAAACTAGGGTCTAGGGCTGGCAAAACTCCTCATTTGATGACACAAATCAGGCAGATCTGCACCCCAATGAGTTCCCTGGTCAGAGTGTGCCATCAACTCAGTTCTGCAGATGAGCAGGGCTGCTAGTTGGGATTATGACTGGGGCACCTCAGGTACGAATTCAGTCTGCCAAGATCCATCTGCTGGTTGTTGCAAGGCCCTCCCCCCTTCTCACACATAGTTAGATTTCCAGTGGTTGAGCCTGGCAGATTCTCCTGCAATCCCCCTGGGGGGAGATCAGTGTAGGGGTTCCCACAAGGTGACCCACAATGCTGGGGGAACTGGTTGTTCCTCCAGGCTCTCTTTTCCCACTGGAGAAACTGGAGGCTCAGAGGAGATCTCTCCGTGTGGTGCTCTTTGCTGGCCTGGGGGAGGGGCAGTGCAATCAGCACTATTACCCTTAGAATGCAGTCTGTCTTGGTGTCTGTGGTGCCTGGGGTGCTTTCAGCCTATCCTCATATTCTAGGATTTTCTAAGTGGTGTCTTGTTCATGAATAGTTGTTAGCTGTTCTTCTTGTGAGGGGGAGAAAAGTCAGGAATGACCTATGTTGCCATCGTGGTGACATCACTCCCAAATTCTTTTTCAGATAGACAGTAGAGGGTGGTTCATCATAGGCCAGTTACAATTCAATGAAACAAATGTATACTGAAATATTGAGAATCTAGGAAAACAATCATGGTAAATATAGCTGGATTCCCATTTCTACAACAGTGCATAAGAAACAAATTAAAACCCATCCCCTGAATAAATCCTTGTTTACTGAATACCTAGCCTAGTATGGCTGACTCGCTGCCCTCAACACCCTTATAAGCATTTGCTCTGGGTACTTTCCTTTGGAAATGAAACATATGGCCTAAAGATACAATATTCTGTTGGTTTTTATAAGATTATTCTAACATTTATTTATATATTTATTTTAAAAACCAAATCTCTAGTGGGAGCAGGCACTTGCTGAGGGCAAACGTCACATCTATTTAAAGGAAATATAGAAAAGTAAGACATAGTGATGTAGTAGAAACAGGACCAAATGTATCACAAAAGAAGATGGGCTAGTTAAAATAGATTATCAGACTGGCTTTAAAAATCCATGTTTATGCTATTAATAAGAATGAAAGCTAAAGCATAAGGGAAAGGAAATGTTTAAAGTAAAAGGACAGGCAAGCCATATTAGCCAAATACTAACAACAACAAAAGGCTTGACATATCTACATTACTTTCAAAAAAGATACAACTTAAAACAAAAGGCATTATTAGAGATAGAGTAGGTAACTAAATTGACAATAACAGTTACAACTCACTGGAAAGGTAAAAATTCTAGGTATATATGCTCCTAAAATATATTCTCACAGATATAATACAACTAATGAGTAATTGATAAATTCACCTTTATCCTAACAAATTTTTTTGCTGACACATATATATATGTTTTACAATTTAAATGCAACAAATACATAATATTTTATTCATTCCAAAAATAATGGATATTTAGGTTATTTCTAGTATGTTTCTAGTAAAAATTATCCCAAGAGCTTTTGAATGCCATCACTCTCCTCATCCCCAAATAAATATATTAGGCACTATAATTAGTGTTTAACTTCCATAGTTTCAATTAATTCTTTTTTTTCCATAGCATGTGTAGATGATATGCTTACTAATTTTCTTTTGGACAGAAATTTTCTTTACATAAGACATCGATGTCTAAAAATTAATAATAATAAAACAATTTTGCTTAATGAGATTAAAACATTGTGATCTAAATACGATAATATATTTGATAAACTCTAGATTTATACAAGTCCCTAGAAATAATTTTATAATATGTATTAGGTTAGTAAAATTAATTTAAAACTAATTTATGGTTATAGAAGAAATACACAATGAAATAAACATTTTTGGATTGTGAAGGGAAATATTTTAAGAACCACTTGTTATACCACTCAGAAATAAAGTCAGTCAAAATATCACTGCATTAACGTCATCATTTTTTGCAGCATATACTTCGAAATATTAATTCTTTAAAGGCAAAATGCATAGTGAACATTTTCCCTTGTCAAACATTTCTGCAAAATTTAATTATATCATTTTCAACTTTGGGGATAATTTGAATTAAAAAAAATCTCATTTGTGAATTGCTTTAACTCCACTGAATACCTGTGATAACATATAAAACATGAAAGCAGGTAAAAAAGATATAGACAGAAAATTGAAGGCCAAAATTTTAGAGGAAATGAATATAATGATAATAATTATTATACTTCTTTTATTAATATTTGAAATTTACCAAGGACTTACTGTTCTCCAGGCTCTTGACTAAATATTTTCTATACTTCCTCTCCATTTCATGTTTTTTCTTTTTTTCAAATTTCAAGCATATGATGTATTATTATTAACTATGGGCACCATACTATACATTAGATCTCCAGAACTTATTCTTGTTATAATTAAAAGTTTGTACCTTTTGGCCAACATCTCCCCATTTCTCTCACCCTAGCCCCTGACAACCACCAATCTACTCTCTCTTTCTATGAGTTCAACATTTTTAGATTCCACATATAAGTGAAATCATGTAGTATTTCTCATTCTATGCCTAGCTATTTCACTTGGCATAATGTCCTTTAGGTTCATCCATGTTGTCACAAATGGCAGAATTTTCCTTTGTTTAAAGCTGAATAATATTCTACTATATATATACACCACTATACATATGTATACCACATTTTCTTTATTCATTTATCTGTCGACGGACACTTAGGTTGTTTCCCTATCTTGGCTATTGTGAATAATGTTTCAATGAACATGGGTGTGCAGATATTTCTTAAAGATACTGGTTTCATTTCCTTTGGATATTTACCCAGAAGCGTGATTGTTGGATCATATGGTAGTTCTATTTT